GCACAAATGAAAAATAAACAACAATAAATACAAGAGAGTCACGAAGTGAAAAGGAGAAGGCAAAAAGAATCAAGAAAGATATAAACAGCAAAGAGATAAGAAATATTGGAAGCAAGAATGGCGCAGGAAGAGAAAGAAAGAGAAAGAAGAGAAAGATAAACAGGTACAAGAGAGAAAGGAAGAAATGAAGCAAGATAAATAAAGAGACAATGAGATTATAATGATCAAACGAAACAACAAACAGTAAGAAGTGACAGAGACAAAAAGGAGACAAGAAGATAAAAGAGGAGAAAACAAGAATAAAATGACAAAGAAAGAGCAAGGAACGAACGAAGACAGGAAAAGGACCAAGAGAGAGAAGTACAACATGAAGGAGATAAGGACACGAAGGAGAAATAGGGACAAGAGATAGAAAAGACGGAAGAAGCAAGATAGAATGTCAGGAGGAAAAAAATTGACAGAATAAACAAGAGAGTTAAAAGAAAGGAAGAAGAAGATAACAAGCAACAAAAAGCATAAAAAAAAAGTAAAGAAACAAAAGAAAGTAAGGAGGAAAGCGAAGTGGGAAGGAAGCAAGACGATAAAAAGGAAGAATAGTGAGCAGCGAACAAGAAATATAGAAAGAAAGCAAAGAACAGAAGAAAAAAGAACCAAGAAGAGAAAGGAAAAAAAAAGAAAAGAAAGAAAAGAACAAAAAAAGGAAAACAAAAGACAAGAAGAAAGAAAAGAAAGAAAAAAGCGAAGTAGAAACAACAAGAAGTGAGGAAGAGGAGAGCAAACAAGAGACTACAAAAGGAATAACAAAATAGAAGAAGAAGATAAGAAGACAAGAAACACAAAGAAGAAGGAAAAGTATGGGAAACTAGAAAGGATGAAAGAAATAAGAGAAAGAATAATATTAGAAAAGAACGAGAAAGGAAAACGTGAAAGGGAAGAACGTAAGAGAGAAAAAGAAAATCAAAGGAAACAAGTACTAAAGAAAGAAGAAGGAGGAAGAAAGCTAGATAAGAAAACGAGAGGAATAGCACAAATGAAAAATAAACAACAATAAATACAAGAGAGTCACGAAGTGAAAAGGA